AGTGCAGTTATAAAACCTACACTGGATGGTGGATCACATCCCTTTATCAGGCCTTTATGACCCCATATAACATATATGGGTTCATAAAGGCCTGATAAAGGGATGTGATCCACCATCCAGTGTAGGTTTTATAACTGCACTGCAGTGTCACAGACTGTATTGAGGGACTTTTATTTTGAAATGTGCATATTCATCTCACAGAGAGGCTCACAATCTGCTCCTGAAATCCAGCTGGTACTCCTTTGGCTAGTAAAACTAGTAAGCATGTTTATGTAGTACAAATACAGTGGGGATGAACTACATCCACCAGGGGGACACACAGTCATGTGACACATAATGCCACGTCACTGTTTACATTCTGAAGCTATTCAGAAGCTATCCAATATTTTAAATAGGCTATATGTTACTTTAAAATGCATTGAAGTGGCTCTCGTTAAGTGGGTTTTATTTATTTCATATTATAAAATACACTTTTAAGATTTGATGTACAAGCACACATATTAACACATTTCTGCATACTGTGCACTACATACAGTTGAATTATTATCCCTCCTAAATTGTTAGCCCCATGTATATATTCTCTCCCCAATTTCTGTTTAACGGAAATAAGATTTATTCAAACAAATTTCTAAACATAATAGCTTTAATAACTCATTTCTAATAACATTTAAAGGCTTAACTAGGGTAATTAGGGTAATTAGGCAAGTCATTGTACAACAGTGGTTTGTTTTGGAGACAATCCAAAACTGATATTGCTTAAGGGGGCTAATAATATTGACCTTAAAATGGCTTAAATAAATAAATAATAAATGTTTTTATTCCACCCGAAATTAAAACTTTCTCCAGAAGAAAAAATATTATAGGAAATCCTGTGAAAAATCAAAAATCACAAGCGGTCTAATTCCGACTTCTCTATAGATTGCCTCATCTATTGTATAATACATGAGTATTGTTTAATACAAGTATTGTTAAGCAGTTATAGCTGCGTGTTTTCTCTACAGGTTGACTCATGACATCGGATTGGACGAATTTGAGGATGAAGATCTGTCTGAAATCACAGAAATCACAGATGAATACGCATTCAAGGCCAGACGCAATGACTCTGACATCAAGGTGAGAGAAGATCTCGCTTAACCATTAAATATTGCTGAATTTAATCTAATAACCACCCTGCATGACTATACTATAGTGATTATACCCAGGTAGCAAAGAATTCTGGCCCAGATTTGGCATGAATCTGGCACAGCAGGCATTCATTTGGCACTGGCATACAGCAAACATGGCCCTGGTTTGGCTGAGGTTGCACCGTCTTTAAGGCGGCACACAACAGTTGGGCCAGATGTAAAATGTAGTATTTGGCCCAGATGTTAATTATTGATATGTGGGTCATGTGAGTTTGGCCAGTCTTGACCCAAATTTAAAATAAATGTAAACTTTTTTCGAATAAATACAAAAAAATCTACCATTCAGGAAGCTTCGAGAAAAAGCATGCCCATGGCACGCTAAAAATGCAATGATACATGGGTTTATCGATTTCGTTGCAGTCGTGACGACCAGTTCGGGCCCAGTTATGAGTTATTATCTTAGCTGAGTCTTAGCCCAGATATGGTACATGTTTGGCCCTTGACTAGAAGCCAGATTTGGTCCAGTCATGTACCCTACTGAAAAAACCATCTTAAACCAGCCTAGGCTGGTTGGCTAGTTTTAGCTGGTCGACCAGGCTGGTTTTAGAGGGGCTTTGGTCATTTCCAGGCCAGAGATTACCAGCTAAAACCAGCTTGACCAGCCTAGCCAGGCTGGGAGCCCAGCCAAAACCAGCTATGTCCAGCTTAAACCAGGCTGGTCAAGCTGGTTTTAGCTGGATTTAGCTGGTCATTTTCCAGCCTGACCAGCTAAGACCAGGCTGAAAATGGCTGGAAACCAGCCTGGAAATGGCCAAAACCCCTCTAAAACCTAGCTGGTTTAAGCTGGATTTTTCAGCAGGGTATACTGAAATTCACTGCGGCATATGGGTCAAGCAAAAGCTGATTGTGTGGGTCAGAGATATTTTGCTATGTGGGTAGTGTCATTCATTCATTCATTTTCTTGTCGGCTCAGTCCCTTTATTAATCCGGGGTCGCCACAATGTAATGAACCGCCAACTTATCCAGCACGTTTTTACGCAACGAATGCCCTTTCAGCCACATCCCATCTCTGGGAAATGTGAGTAGTGGGTAATGCTATTATTATTGAACCCCATTAATGAATCCTGCAGCATACTGCATTATTAACAATAGTGAACTGATAAATACTGTAGTATACTTTAGGTTTTACTACAGTAAACTGGTGTATTGTGATAAAATATACACTGTATTTGTTGAAAACTACAGTATTGGGTCAGCTGTACTTTTTGTGTTATCAAAGCAACCATAGAATTAACAATTAATTGATTAATTAGCATACATTACTAAAGTGGCTTAAAAACACTGTAGTATTTTCCATGTGAGACTGAAAGTTGGAGTATTTGAAGCATTTGTGGAAGTTTTTAATTATGGATGTGATTTATATCTTGGTCTTTGTGATTTTGTTTGTGATTTTAACCATTATTATTGATGTTCTGTGACCTTTTTATTTAAAAAAAAAAAAGTATATATCTTTCGTCATTATTTGTTAATGAGTTGATCATTCCTGTGCTTTACAGCATTTCACCTCTAGATGGCGGAAGTCACATTTATATATTTTGCCTGTAGTGAAAATGGTCTACACAACAGTCCTCTCTGCAGTGTAGATTATCATCAGCACAAAACAAAAAAGAGAAAAAAAAATGTGTTTGGGCATGAAATGAAAATACTATGAGGGAAACAGTCCACTAAACATGTGTGGTCTATTTAAGACCAAATTAAAAACAAAACTGCATTTAACAATATTTCGCATAATGAGTAGTGGGTAAAACCCTAAAGTAAGTTCTTGCATTACTTCTAAATTAAATTGACTTATTTTGGAATACATTGAGCATACATTGACTTTTTTCCACTTTAGCACTATTTGGAAATGCTAACTGGCTCGAGTTTAGTAATATTTTAGATTAATTTACCGTTTGAAAGAAATCTTTTGTGCAAACATAGGCTGCAATCCCAAACACAATGAAAAAAACATAGGCTGCAATCCTAAACACAATGAAAAAAATAAAAGATTGTTTTAAAAAAATATTACATTTAAGGTGACAGGTTTTCTATTTAGCGAGATGCTAACGGTCTAATCCGATTTAATGATCTATGCTAAGCTAAAGCCATTTCTTTTTTAAAGTGGAGTGTTTCTTTAAGTGGTTTCAAACCTGTTTGAGTTTCTTTCTTGTTGAACACAAATTAAAGGACACCTATTATGCAAAACTAACTTTTATAAGGGGTTTAAACACAGTTGTGTGCCAGCAGTGTGTGAATATTTCCAGCTTCTAATGCTAAAAATGTATTAATTGTATTGATTATAATCAGACTTGAATCCAGAAACACTTTGATTGACATGCTCCCTTTTGTACGTGTCATCAGAGGGGGAAAGCCCCGCCCACTAGTGACCATCTCTTTCTCATTAGCATAGGTCGTTTTTCTAATCTGTCACTATGCTGATACACAGGCATTTGTAGCTCCGCCCTCTTTTGAAAAAAGCACAATCTCATTTGAATTTAAAGCGACAGTCACCAAAACACCATAATTAGGATCCTAAAAGGGTCAGTTTCAGAGAGGTATAAACATAATCTGTGTGGTTTTTGAGTTGAAACACTCTAGGCACGTCAGAGACTTAATTTACATCTTGTAAAAAGAGGCATATTAGGTCTCCTTTAACATACACAGAAGAACATTGAGGGAAAAACAGCATTTTTGTGGTTCCTACTATGGATGTGAATAGCAGTCCACATTGAGTTCTGCAAACTTTGGAGCTGAACTCCGGCAGTGTCTCATTGTAATGCAGTGAGTAAACACCAGGCATGAATAGTCTTTGTCCCCCAGCCCTCCCCGTCTCCTGTTCTCCGAATGCCACAGTCTGATGTCATTACAGTGCTTTTTTCTCTCTCTGAGCGACAGTGGGTCTGTTCAATCCCTGCAGGATCACGTGCGTCAGGCACCCAGTGCTGCTTTGGGGAGGATAGAGGCGGGTGCAGAGGGTCAGATCCAGCCAGAGACCCAGCCTCTACATCTGACTGATGCTGCCGACAGGAGTCAAACACTGGCCTGCAGACACGACAGCAAAGCATCCATGGATTCTGCCGTTCCTGTCAGTATGGAGGCCTACCGTCCAAAAAGACCCACCACGCTCAACTTATTCCCACAGGTGCCCCGGACGCAGGTAATAATCACTCATGGCTGTTCAGATATATATATATATATATATATATATATATATATATATATATATATATATATATATATATAT